ACCAAAGTAAAACTTTGTTTTTCAATCTACCCCACAACACTAGGAAGTAGGTAAAACAATGCTAGGGAAATATGCTCCTTGCCCAAACAATATTATGCCATACAACCTTATTAATTAATTCATGGTATATATGACTAGGAGTTATTGCATAAAATTTATTCTTCATCTCAATTATGCTCTTCAAATCAATTTTAATAGTGGCTAATCTTAAAAAAGGCATTAACATCAATAATATATACTCTACATAAAATAATAAGTCTTGAATATATAAAAATCACAATTCTATATCAAATTAACTAGGCTACATCATAACCTCAAATGGCAAAATTAGTTTGTATATGATTAAGGAAAAGAAAATCAAATATCCCATGACAAATATAAAAGTATTCCACATCATAAAACAAAATCCAATGACAAGTTAAACTAGTTTAATGATATAAAATCTCATGTTTTAATCTTTTTTCAATGTTGAGTTCTTTGTTATCATCTCTGTCTTGGTCTCCAAAAGTTATTGAAGTTTGGATTTTAATGAATATTTATAGAGTAGGAAAAAAGTAGGACCCATGCAAAAAAAAAAAAAAAAAAAAAAGAGAGAAAACTTGAAAAACTAAAAGTGTTTTCAAGTGTTGTTACCACAACATAGGTATCAATGCTCCTATTTATTTCATTGGATACCTATTTTCTAAATATTTAACGAATAGTGTTGACACAACAATGTAGGTATCAAAACCAAACATGTGTAAGGTTTCTTGTTCTTTTTGCAATTACTTCAATTGTAAATCAACAACTTGGTTCTCAGCTTCTACAAGATAAGAGCTTTGGTCCTATAACTTAGAATTCATTCATTTGGATCCCTAGAAGCGACCTGTTACCCCAGAAACAATCTCTCAACTTTTAAAAAATATTCAATTAGATCTATAAGCTTCAATTATTTGCATTCAAGTCCTTTTCTACAAAAAAAATGAAGATTATATAATATCTATGGAAGATAATCATATCCATCTAAATAGTAACAAAATCAAGATTAAAATCAGAGATTAAAGGTTATAAAATGCTAAAGTAGCAAATAAGGTATTAAAATTACATTAAATTCACAATTAAGGTCCAAAGTTTTATTATGCTCAATTAAGGTCCTAAATTTATCAAAATTTTCAAAAAAAGTCCCAATTAGACAAAGCCGTTAGATCCATTAAATTATTTGTTAACACCGTTAAATCTAACTAGTTAAATAATAAAATAATCCCTAGACTTTTAATTTTAGCTTTCAATAACCCAATAACTTTCAATAATCTCAAAAAACTCCTTAAATTATTTTTTTCTACTTATATGGAAATTTTTGTGGGTTCATAATTAAAAATTAAATTTAATTATTTGAAATAATTCACTAATTATCCTTTAAATTATTCATTAAAAAGTTAATTAATCATGAACATAGTTTTTGAGTTTTTTTTTGCCATAACAAAATTTTTGGGTGGGTTTCACATATTTGTATTGTAAATTCCTTCATAAAAAATAACAAAAAATTGAGGCCCACATACATGCCACATTAATTTTTAGTTGTGGGTTCCACAAAAATTTCCTCATAAGGAAAAAGTTTAAGAGTATTTTGAGGTTTTTAAAATATTTAAGGCTTTTGAGAGCTAAGATTAAAAGTCGAGGGACTATTTTTTTGGTTACTTAACTAGTTATATTTAATGGCATTAACAAGTGATTTAACAGACCTAATGGTTTCATCCAATTGAAATCTTATTTGTGAATTTCAACAATTTTAAGATCTTATTTGAGCACAATAAAACTTTAGGACCTTAACTGTCAATTTGGTGTAAATTTAGGTCCTCTTATACTACTTTAGCCCGTATAAAATGCATCTCATCAATATGAATTAGGCATAAACTTGCATAAACTCTCGCCAATTGCATGTTTAAATGCAAAGTTGGATTGAACTAGCATTGGGCTAAAACATATTTTAATATAGATGTATGTGAAAGATGAAGGCTTACTGAACCTTGTGTTGAAGTATTGTATCTAAAGGCCTCTTATAACTGAATTTGTTTGCCAGAAATTTGATCTTATCTTGATTTTCTTTAACTTTCTTGTAATCATGCTTGACCAAATCAAATGCTCTTAACAAATTTGAATCCTTCCTTGCAAACTAGACTTATGCCACATGGCATTTTTGTTGTCAAAAACTAAATTTTGGGTGCTAGAATACCTAAAATCATGCTTGTTGGAACTGTTTATGATTTTTCTCAACTAAACTAAATTGCTCAACACTATATTAGCAACTCCCTCAATTTTGTGGAACTAATAATCTCCTCCTTTTCATGCTAAGAATCTTCCTCAAAAGAAAAGTATTAATTTTATTTTAATAAAAAAACTAACCCAGTTCAATCTCAAGTATCATTTAGGAGATTAGACTTAATCCAACGTCATTACTATTAAAAGTCCAAAACTCACCTAAACTTTCATTCCATAGGGTCAAAAGTCGAATCAAATACCACTTTTGCTACTTGGCAAAAGTTTACTACATCATAATTTCTCCCTGTTGTGGATTGCACTACACCAAATTATGGCCACTTATTAGCTTTTGAATTCCTAACTGTATGGAAAATTTGTGCCCATTAAATCTTTATTAAGGACACATGGCACCATCACAAAATTTACTATTTATGGTGTTAAACAGAGAGAAAGAGAGAGATAAAGATAAAGAGGTGTTGATAATGGAGGAGGAGGAGGAAATCTCTAGAGAAAATAGTAGGAGAAAAGAAAGATGGCAATGACAGAACATAAAGATAGCTGGAGAAAGGAAAGGAGGGGTAGAATGATCTATATCCATATAAGAGAGTGAGGAACTGAGACAAAGTAGGAGGAAGTGTGAGGAAGAAGATAAAGTGGAAGGGCAATTACGTAATTTAACATATTTTAATTTATTAACTAATAAAGGTTACCCAT